ACTCCTTAGTTAAGTTTAACACCATATGTAACTCTTTTGTTTTGTAACAACCAATAAACTCGCAATTTTGAATAACTATGAGTTTTTTCATTGATATTGTAGAGAAGAACCTAACTAAACCTAACCCAAACCTTGACTAAAATAATGTACCTATATTGTGCAGAAAGCTAATATCTATATATGCTACGGTACACCCTACCTAGGTAGGTAGGGTGTATCGTGTATGTACGACAACCCTGCATCACACACACTTGCAGCCTCTCAGAGTCGATCGTAAGTAGTCTAAAAATATTGAGGTAGATCGCCAGCAGTTCAAGTTTGAGCACCCCTGTACTAAGGTATTTATATTTTAAAAATAAAATAAAGATTGTCCTCTGTAACGCAATGATCGACAGAGGTTGATTTGGGAGGCCATATGTGTTTTTTCCAAAAGCAATCGTTAATATCTCAACATTTTTACAATTCCGCCATGTTTTAAATTGAATTGTATTACTTTAATTTTACTAGGTTTTTAAGACAGTCATAAGGAAACCATAATATAACTACGTTATTATAAAAAAGTAAAAACGAAACCGTTAAAAGAAATTTTTTAAACATGTGCCAGAAATGGTTAGCACAAAAGTTTTTCCAAACTCCCCTCAGATTCATTCACCCCCGGCGATTTAGTTTTATTTCTTAGCATACAAATATCACACACACATAATATGTGATCATTGTTTCTTTCTGATTTTCGATGTGAGGGAGGTCTGATTTGGACAGGACTCCGAATTAAATAATTTTTATAAAATCTGATATAAATAATTTTTTATAATAGTATACATGTTATATACCAACATGTAAAGTTTGTATATAATGTTTTAAAACTTGCGTTAAAGTACATTCAAAAATCAAGACAGATTACATGACGCCCTGAAGGCAACTATCCTGAAAAGGTAGCAAAAGGTTTTTCTTTAGTTAAAAGAAAAAGATAAATCACCTACACTTTTCCAAAATCAGTTAATATAAGGAAAAAAGATTCTAGAGCAAAGTTCTACTGTATAATGAATGTAAATTTAATATTTTTGACTCCAATGAAAAAATAGGGGCAAAGTTAGTTCATTCTACACTCAAAAGAGTCAAATGTGATACATTAACAGAAGAAAGTTCAACGGAATATTAAAAACAGTTATGTTGATAGTAAATAATACATATGCATATGTTTGCCATTACTATCGTGAAATTGACTAATTACGAAGAATCTTGTGTTACTAATTTTTATTGCACTTTTGAAAAATTAAACTAAAAATAATGTCTTTTTATATAACTCAATTAAATAAGGTTTTTAGTTGTGATAAAAAAAGTCAGTGTCACAAGCGGGATTCGAACCCACGACCTTCGGCTTGATACGCCGCTACTCTACCACTTGTCACAATAGCTCAAGTGGTGAGTAGCGGTGTATTAAGCCGAAGGTCGTGGGTTCGAATCCCGCTCGTGTCGCTGACTTTTTTACTCAACTAAAAACCTTATTTAATTGTAAGATTGGTCAAGCGGACCACGAAAACTAGTGAATTTTTATATAACATTGTTCATTGCTAAAACCCAACATTGCATTATAATCAGTTGAAAAGGTGCAATTACATAACCTTTGCAGATAATGTGGTAAACAGGCAGGATAAGTAATAAAGCTATTCAAGTAATTCCAAGTGGGAGGAGAAAATTTTTCAGAGAAAACAATTATGAAAATTTTCATATATACAATATGATGGAATTACAAGAAAATTAACTATGGTTTGGAGTCTAAAAATTTAACTGCTTGATTCGATGGATTAATTCTCTATGCGGTAAATGTCTATACAAAAACAAGAATGACCGTTTTTATACTGTTTACATTTCATACCTACCCATCACTGAGAGTTCAGTTGGGCTACAGTTATTTTAAATACTATAAATTAGATGCATGAAAATTGAAAATGTGATTGGGTACCTCAATCTCAGCTCCAAGAACTATTAGTCTATCTAGCTCGGAAATGGTAAGGCGGATTAGAAGACTTGGCTAACATGGCGAGACCTTCCAGGATGAATACAGCCGGGAGGACCCAGGCCGAAGTCGGCTGGTTGCCCAGCTCGAGTACCATTCCAAATGACATCCCTGCCCTTTCTAGGCTTCACCGGAGCGTATCCCTAGAGATCGCGTACAGGTCTGAAGTAGGGATCGCACCCGAAAAAGCAGATGGCCCAGTTTGGCAAGGAACCCCGCAGCATAGCTAATGGTGAGTTGTCCCTCTGAAATTCGGGTGGCAGCACTCCCAGCTCATGGCAAAGGCTGGCCAAAAGGCTTGTTCTGAACAGGCCAGAGCCCACGTGAAAACTCCCCTGAGAGTAGAGCTTATCGAGCTTCTACAGGTGCGTTTTTCGGGCTAAAGAATAGGTCATGCAACTATATAAGGTCGAGCACAGCAGCAAGTCAAATATTTTCAGAAGGGTCTCCCTGTCCGCTCACCACCTTAAGTGACCGATAAACTTTAATAATGTTATTACTTCCTTCCCTTCACTTCGACGGCGTCAATGTTTGGATACCATCTAAGCATTTGATTGCAAGAGTGTGTGCCCTGGTATTGGACTTTGTTACATTTATAACCGAAATAGATTTTAATATTTTACAATAAATAGTACAACAATCAAATTTTAATTATTATTCAGAAATCGTGAGATGCGGTCCAGTGTGATGTAGGTTTCAGAAAAACATTTTCTTTATCGTGCTAACGTTTCCTTTTCCTATTTATCCCTGTCTATATAATCCTGAAAGCATAATCTGGCTGAACTATTACCAACGTTTTTACCCTTCGTCGGCTCTTCTTATCTCAAAGAAACCGACTCCTTATACAAAAATGTCTTTTTATACCGACTTCCTTCCGCACCCCCTTTAAAATTCAATGTATATAAACAAAAAACAGCAATATCTCAATGGCACTCTCAACATGACATGCAAGAATGGCACAATTATGCAGAAAACAAACACTTTGATTGAATATCAAAAATATTTTTTTTTTTTGCATTGTATAAATTCACTTTTTCCCACATCCTACATGTATTTGTTAAATTTAAACAATGTTTGTAAATCCCAGGCCCTGAAGATTATCTCAATAAATATCGAAACGTTGGCACGATAAAGAAAATGTTTTTCTGAAACCTACATCACAGCAAACCGCATCCCACGATTTCTGAATAATCATCGACTAACCATCACTAATCACCACACAAATCAAATTTTGAAATAAATGTGTGGTGATTAGTGACTGTTAATCGATATTTATTTAGAAATCATGAGATGCAGTCTGGTGTGATGTAGGTTTCAGAAAAACATTTTCTTTATCGTGCCAACGTTTCGATCTTTATTGAGATCATCTTCAGGGCCTGGGATTTACAAACATTGTTTACATATAACAATTACATTTTGGATGTGGAAAAGTGAATTTATACAATGCAAAATATATTTTTTATATATTCAATCAAAGTATTTCTACTCACTCAAAGTGTTTGTCTTCTGTGTAATTGTGCCATTCTTGCGTGTCGTGTCGAGAGTGCCAGTGAGATTTTGCTATTTTGTGTTTATATACGTTGGATTTTGAAGGGGTGGGGAAGGATGTCGGTATAGAAAAGACATTTTTGTATAAGGCGTCGGCTTCTTTGAGGTGAAAAGAGCCGACGAAGGGAAAAAATGTGTTGGTAATGGTTCGACCAGATTATCCTTTCAGGATTATATAGAAAGGGATAAAATAGGAAAAGGAAAGCTAAATTGTTGGGAAATTAGACTATGTGAAAAATATTTGATGTGTGGAATGTAATGTGATGATAGGTATGTTATCTGTATTGAATTTGATTAATGATATTGCCGTAGCTGCGACTGAGTTTACATGTCCCAAGAACCTCAAGAGAAAAAAAACCAATGGACCCGACAAAAATTAGGTTGTGTAGATCATAAAGATCCCCATCAGAAAAACATTGCCATTACAATAATCATCTATGATTATTCTGGTTTATCTATTCTCATATGAGAGAAAGGAAAAGAAATAAAAAAGACAGATCAAGATCGCCACAACACAATCAAACTACAAATTGTAGTTATCGCAGGTACAATAATTACATCGTATATAATTGTTTCTTACCTTAAAATGTGGCTTCTGTAGAAGATGCTTCAGTTCTTCGGCAGTCCTGACGAGGTCAAGATCCATGTCATTAGCAACAGATTCATGATCGCGCAGTGTGTCAACCACATCGCGCCACTTAATAACAGCATCACTCGGAGGTGCTCTTGTCGGAGATACCACTTTGCTAGAGATTCTGTCGTAAAGCTATGGAAATATCGCGATTTGAAAGCACATAACAATGCGCAAAAAAGAAAAAATCACAAACCGCATACTAAAATGAGCCAACTCTCATAAAACTAATATGCTTAATTAAATTTAAAGAAAAAAGAATAGTTTGTTTGTGTACAGCAAGTCATGCTCATAAAAACTAGCAGGCATGCAATATTTACACTATTTTACGTATCCATGTTTGTCATAGTTAGTAATAAAAGAGTTGACTCATCATTTAAACTAAAAACCAAACAAGAAACTTGCAAAATGCGAAAAAAAAATTTATTAACTTCTAGCAGGGCATGCAACTGTCGATCATCGAGAACGGATTGAAGAAAGTCCCTATCATCCAACGGTGGCTCTTGAAGACAATGGATATCATCAAGCGAATCCAATACCATGCTCACAGCTGAAAAATTATATCTTTGTTAACATGATACAAAAACCGGTATTGTTATTGTAAGCCTGGGTTTGGTACTGACCCGCAGAGGTTACATCATCATCTCCATAATCGGAAAAATGGTCTGGGTCGGTAGGGTCTAAAGACCACTTTGGAGACGCCACAGCAGCCATCACAGCTCCTTTCAGCCTTCTTCTTGCATTAAGTTTTTTCATCTCCTCCACTGTGTCCAGAAGATGTATCTTGCTGACTGCTTTGTCTCGGTCCTGAAAAAACACCAGCAATTTTAAAGCAAAATGAAACAAAATATTTTAAATATTCAAGAAACAATTTTTTTGCTTTGTATTGTTATTATTTATAAATATTCACTAAACACTAGACCTATTTTTTTCTGTATTATATAATACAAAATTTACTGTGTACTTACTCTGAGCCATTTATGGTTAAGAACTTCTTGAATAGTGATTCTCTGATGTGGGTCCACGTGGAGCATTCTCTTCACTAAATCTTTAGCACTTTCACTTATACAGTCCCACAATGGCGAGTCGAGCTGTACATATCACATTACATTAATGATCTAGGCCAAATGTGAAAGATTAAGCTCGACTTACGTGAAGTTTTCCCAGACAGATGGAATGGTAGAGCCTGTGCCGGGTACCAATAAACGGCAGAGTGCCTGATAAAAGTATGTGGAGGAGAACTCCGGCAGACCATATATCACCAGGTTTGCCATACTGCTGTCTGTCCACGACCTCAGGGGCCATAAACTGGGGTGTTCCAATCCGCCCTAAATTTGAGACCGTAATGTAACAAATGTAATATAAAATATTATATTACATTTAAAATGTATCTTTACAAATTATTTAATTTTAGCTTTTTTGATTTAATTAAATGCAAACAGTTTAAGATATAACAGTGCACCTTAATTCTTATAAAGTGTATCTAAATGAATGTCATGCATTACAATTTCAAATTTTGTTTGAGAACAAAAAATGGGTAACATAAGAATTAAGCTAGCACTGCATTTACAAATCATGCAATCATGCAAAACAGCCAGACCAGGAAAAAAGGATAAAAGTGAAGAGAAACAATGACCGTTTAGCAAGTGCGCTCTGTACGTCCAATATGCTCAACGAAACAATATTTATGTTGCCAATCGCATAGCGCAAAGCATGTTATATTTTGTCAGCAATAAAACGATTAAGCAGTGCATGCTTTTGTGAGTTTCAATGAACTGGCACTCTCTCATATTTCAAGAATTATTAATTTAATGCCACATGAGAAGCTGCATTACCAATGTAAGAATCCTTGTGTTTGCTAATATCGACAACATATGATAAACTTATCTAACGGAAAAGCAATATTTCAAATAGTAACACAAACATGGAAAAATAAAACCGATAAATTCAGCTGTAGGGAACAAAATGACCTTTTCAATTATCCAAACACCATTTATCTTAATAACTAACAACTTAAAATGTTTGGAAAATTTATAAGAAGCTTTTTAGTAAAAAACACATCTAAAAATTGTTATTAAATAATTGGACACCAAGCTCAAATTCTAGTCATAAATAATGAGAATGAAGTAATAGTGTTTCGGTCATAAAACAGCACAATAAAGTTAAAGATGACATTTTGATGATTGATATGTCAAAATTTTATGATTCTCTTGAAATAAGAAATTATTAGTTATAATTGGTACAGAAATTTAAATATTAAGACTTGATTATCATTTTGTTATAATCTAGTGCTTGGTAATTGCAAATATATATTTATATAGACAAATTTATCAAACAGATATTAGCAAAGAGCACAGGAAAGCAAATAGAAATTGCTATGACTAGAAAACATGATCTATTTATAGCGCCGAGCTGCTAACCTACAAGAAAGAGAAATGTTCTATATTGAAACAATTAACGGGCATTTTTTTTGTCTCATATCAGTTTAACCATTCTAATACCGTTATTCTCGGCAGCTTCTATTTTCTCCAAATCAGGTAGGTGGTCATATGAAAGAGAGTTAGGTGCTAAAACGAGAGACAAACAAAAACACACGTGAATTAAAAAAGGAGGAAATGAAAAAGTTTTGTTACAGAGTCTGTTTACCGAAGAAACAATTCCTGCCAAGGGCGCGTTGATGGCCCTGCTCAACGACTGTGCCCAACATGAAAATACAATAAAAAAAAAACTGTAGGTACAGAGCAAAAATTCGTCTTTACTGGATGTGATGAAATGCCTAAACTACGATTAACACGAAACATTGTTCTTCTCCAATACAGCTTGAACCAATGTTAATAAAACACATAAGATTGGCATGTCAGGTCGCACGACTTAAAGATTACTGACAAAGTAAATAAATTATAAGCAAATAAGGAAGCGACATGGGAAACACGAAAAGCAGAAGCTGCAGTTAGGAAGTACAATGACTCGCATTATTCGGCAGTTGTCAGTTTGGCAAGGGTAACACCAATCGATATTCTCATCAATGGTTAGTATATCTGCCCCAACAGGAAACAAAACAAGTCACAGGGGATGTCTTCATTACTCTTGTTCTTTTACTGTTCTTACCCTCAGGATCGGACTTCAGGTAATCCTGTCCCCTTGTGTCCAGTCCTGGCCTGCGGAGTGATCTGAAACTTTCTGTTTAAACCTAGTGATCACTCGGTTGAAAAATAAAAGAAAAAGGAAAAAGAAAAACCAGTAACTAATCATTAATAATTAAATTTAAATTGAAAGAAATTCTTTCAGTTTTACTATTGGTATAGTTAAAACAAAATAATGCTTAAAAACCAGCAAATGAACAAAAATTTGAAATATTTAATTTTTTATCATTATAATTAATTATGCAAATAAAATAAAAAATTAAAAAATACTGTGTTTTCAGTGTGAATTCGTGATATTAATGTCTATTTCTTTATTGTATAAAGTCTATCGTATTATTAAAACTGTTTTTGCTGTTTTTCTTATTGTCAAGATCTTAACATACATAGACAGTCAATGTGCACACATACATATACACATACAAAATACCAACATATACACACCCACACAAAAGAATATATCAGTATTGATCAATTTTCATGTTCATGTACAATCAAATGATATTAATTCACTTGGCAAATTATAATTCCTGTATAAAAAGAGACAGATAATTGAGCACAAGTTGTAATAGATTAATTATTTTTCATTTATTTTCTTCTTCGGCGTCATTTGAAAATCAAAAAATTTAGGCAATTTAGTACGACAAAAGTACATGTGTACACTCCATTCTGTAGCTAAGTTAATTTTAATCATATAATCCCTTCTGAAAACAGGGCCTTGAGAAAATGGAAAGCAAACACACATCATCTACATCGATAATTCCTTTAATTGGAATTCTGAAAATGAGTCTGTGAAATTTAGTAGGATTTAAAACTAATTAACTGGCTCAGCTTAACTTCATTAAAGAAAAGAGAAATATGGAATCATTTAAGTTGAAATATTTATAGATATATGTACTATGGAGTGCACTCCTAAAACATAGGTCTGTCAAGGAGAATTATTGAAATGGAAAGTAATGAGGTGATTATACTTTCACCTCGATTAGGGATTGAAGATGAGTGTAGAATTTTTCATAGATTGATTTCACAACCTATTTTATGAAGGGAACATTTGTGTAGTTATGGATGGATTTCGAAAAAAAAAAAAAAGAATCCCTGGATTCTGCGGAGATTGGAAGGTTTGGGTGAACCCCACAATTTTATGTCTACATTGGTTTCAGTACTGAGCAGTAATGAGTTGTATGCATGTATTTGCTATCAAGAAAGAGTTTAGATCTGGTGTCTATAGCCCTTTAAATAATGGAGTTGGTTTAATAATGTCTTTTTAAATCGTTTTAGCAGATTCCAGATCAATCGCTTGTCTTGAATCTGAGATAGCGAATGACATATTGGGATTAATCTTAGTCACCACCAATGATGAATATTTGCGATCAGGTGTCAGACCACAAGGGGCGGAAATATGGGTGAGGAGGAGCTTTAACAGAACTGCACTAGAAACATTTCTTTCAATCAGATGGTGTAGAAGCTAAGGTGGGCATATAGACAGAGAGCAAAGCTTTTCAGCCACTCATCCAATGATTCCGGTCATTGGGCATATTAACCAATATTGACAGACCCTGGCAAATCATAATGGTACATGAATGGAATTGCGGTGCAGAACCCACACCAAAGAAGCAAACACTGGCAAGCTGGAAAGCGGTTGATTTTATTCATTTTAATTAGAAAAAATAAGAATGAAAATCACATTGAAGGTTATGTTTTGGAATTTTATGGTATTGAGTTTGATTTGTCATTTTTTGAACCATTGCACTCACTATGTCTGAGAAGAGCTTAGTTTAAGTTGAAGAGCCATATTGGGGTCGTAGTTTGAATACAATATCAGAAGTATACTGAGCACAGTATAGGTCCATGGACACTACCCTGAGAGACATCAGCATCTGCCTTGTACGAAAAGGACTGTAAAGGACACCTATACTCAAAAGTGCCTGAAGGTAGGATTTAAAGACGAGAAAGTGTGTAGAGGGTAGGAAAAGCATGAGTTTTCAGAATAAATCCAGGTGCCAGACTTGAATACTGGAAACAAGTATGTCTGTTAATTAAAGAAATTAGATTATGGAAAAGTTTCATTTTAAATATTTATGCTGAAAAGGAATACCATCATTAATGCAAGAAATACCATAATGTAACAGGAGAGTTATATTATGATTTTTTTTTCCAATTTCTTGAGATTGATAGAGAAGTAAATAGTCAGATAATAAACCCATTGTATATACAAGAAAATGCAAATATTTTTTTTTTCCCACCGAAAATACCACAAATATTGTAAACGCCCATTTTTAATGTTTTGAAAATCATTGCTAAAATGACAGCATACCTCCATTGACCACTTGACCATCTTGGAGTTGGATTGCAACGCCAAAGCCGCCAAGTTTCACTGGAGCCGAGTTTTCTTTGCTGGTAAGAAGCACGCAATGCGGTTTTATATCACGGTGGATGATGTCATTGTCATGGCAGTACCTCAGCGCTTCCAAGACTTGCCTCATATAATGACTAAAATAATTTGTAAATATATCATTTGTTAAAATTTTATATTATTGCACAATTCACCTTGCAACAGCTTCACTATAGACAAACCCTGCTGTAGCCCTTCGCACAATTTCAAAACAAATATCCGACCCATCCATGCTGGAAGAAGAAATTACAGTTATTAAATAGTCAATGTAAATAAAAATTTATATCGACAAAAATTATTTATAATCATTAAAAATCACATGTTGACCAGGATTGAGTTATTATAGATAGTGCGCAGCCAAAACACTTCTAACAACAAAAAACCCCCGAGTGCAGACACAATAAATAACCCAGTGTTGATTCAGCACATATTCACCAACTTGCAGACACAATACCCACCATTAACATTATTTTAAAAAAATAAAACAAACTTTATAATATAATTATTTGTACAACTGAGTGACAAAATTATAGACACATTAAAAAATCACGATTTCGACAGTCAAAAATGATTTCTTTTGCCATTAGAATATTGTTCATGATATTAAAAGAAAATTAACTCTGGAAATGGCTTGATCTGATAATCTTATACAAATGTACATCTCAATAAACAGTATTGTTTTGATTTAGCTGCGACAGAATTATAGACACACATTTTGTTTACGTTTATTTTATAATCCAAAGGTTTATTCAGTATTCACTGTACCATGCCTTAGTAAAGTGATTTCTGTGAGTTCATTTGAAACAATTCAAAGTTATTTTAAAATGTCCAAAGGAAGAAGATTTTCTGATGAGGAGCGCCGGTTGATTCACTTGCTCAATGAAGATGGAATGAGCTGCCGAGATATTACCCGATGCATAAAACGAAGTTTTTCATCGGTATCGAAGATAATACGACTAGGTGAAGACTACGGAAGAGGGCATAGCTCTGGAAGACCTCCTTCCTTGACCAGAAGAGACTAATCACACATCCTGCGCATTGCTTCAAACAGCTTTTCGACGGCAAAAGCCATCACAGAGAAGGCCGGTGTTGATGTTTCTGTTCGAACAGTTCAGAGATTCCTTAAAAAAAACTGAAAACATAATCCGAAGAAAACTGAAAACGCAAACCAGCTCTGAAACCCCACCACAAACTAGCCCGTGTCAAATTTGCTGAAAACCACATTTTGAAAAATGAAGATTATTGGCGAAGTTATTTTTTCTGACGAAAAAAAATTCAACTTGGACGGCCTGGACGGATACGCATACTACTTTTATGATCTAACTAAAGAAGAAAAAATTTTGACACAGCGCCAAATGGGTGGTGGATCTTTGATGATTTGGGAGTGTATTGGGTGTAATAAAAAAGGGAATCTGTTTTCTTCCAAAAAAAAGTCAATTTGGAATATTACAAGAAATTATTGGACAAAGAAAAAACTAGTTTCAGTGATTTATGTGAAGGAACTCCAATATTCCAGCAGGACAACGCACCCTTCTTACACAATGCAAAAATTGTTAAAGAATGGTTTTCACAGAAGAGCATTGAAAAACTTGAATGGTCTGCACTCTCACCAGACTTGAACATTATAGAAAATGTATGGGGAAAATTATCGAGGATGTTATATCAAGACTGTAAGCAGTACAACTCTGTCAACAAACTTAAAACAGCTATCACAACTGCCTGGAATAATTTGCCTCAAGATTTTATTCAAAATTTGTACAATGCCATTCCAGATAGATTACTGGAAATAATAAAACTGAGTGGTAAAGCCACAAAATAATATAACCTTGTTTTAAATTGATTTTATCCCGTGTCTATAATTTTGTCACAAACAAAATAATTTAATTTTAGTATTTTAATAATTTTTTCTCTTATTTACTGAAAAATTAAAGTTTAATGAAGAAAAATATTTATTTCCTGTGTTTTGAATAAATATTTGTAGTACAAACCCCATTACATTAAAAAATCATAACAATTAGGGGTGTGTCTATAATTTTGTCACTCGGTTGTATTAAAAAATCAGGAATTAGAAGAATGATAAGAAAACATGTCCTCCAATCTTTCGGGGAGTATATTCCCTTCATCTGTACTTTGAAACTATTATTAATAATTAAAGGATAATAAACATGAACAACTTGGAAGAATGAATTTCAGAATTATAACTGAGGGATTGTAACCATTTCAGTGCTGTAAGTAGATGTCAATAGTTCATGAGATTTCCTCCTATGATCTACAGAGTGATGTAACTACTTTGATCCTTTCTGATCAATTTTATCTGCCTGTCGACTGAGTGGTGGGTCTTGTCACATGTGTTTCAGAATATTACCATCTTCAGTCTCTCAGACCAAAATGATCAGTAATGACAAAAATACAAACCACTGAAGGAAATCTCACAATTAGGTTAGGCTGGTGAGCTGGTACAAAGCCTGAAAAACGTATACACCAAAATTTGACTGTAAATTAAGTAGCACAAATTATGTACTGAGGTTTCCTATCTTCTTGGTAGAATTACACAATTTATTTTCTGTCATATCCAACCTTTTTAAGTGCCAATTAAATCGGCAATGTGTAGTTAGGAAACCTGCATAATTCGGAATTTTTAGTAGTACTAAGTTTAAGTGTACTTTTTGAACAAAGACTTTTGCCTGTCCTGTCCTGTGATGTTATTTCACCAGTAACATGATTCATTCAGTAATTGCTTCTTTTTTTTTTTTATAGCAGTTTGGAATTTTTATAGAAAGGTACTGGTTCTATTGCTGAGGACCTGGCTAGTCGTGTTGCCCTTTTGTTTTGTGTACCCTGGTACCAAGCTAAAAGACAGTTTGTTCTCTATTCCTACTTTTCCCAGGGCACTCATGTAGTCTCATGTGTTCTCTTACCTCAGTTAAAGTAGATGCTTTGATCACAGCTTGACTGTCAGAATAAATAAGAACCTTTTTGCTTCTATTCCCAGATTGTTTTATCTTTAGCACAGAGCTAAATTTCGTGTGTCCAACTATGTGATGAACACTTTGGTTGTTATCAATCATTTTGGTCTAACAGCTAAAAATAGCAAACGCCAAAACTGTGACAGCCTGACCAACCCTGTGAGGATAAGCAGACCAAGATGGCCGGAAAGGATCAAATTATATTGGTCTGTTTGGACTTAGATTCACCGTATATTTCTCTTTATAATCTTATTTATTATACAAAAACAATTTTGATTATGTGAATCCTACTTGTGTTCTACATCCCCGCTGGAACATAAACTACACACATTTATTGTCTTGTTTAATTATTGGAACATCCAAAAAATTGAATTTATCATTTTCTGCAAATATATATACATACCTCTTTTAGGACACATAAAAATTATGATTTAGTAGGAATTTAACAAACAAAAAATTACATGTTGTGTAAAAGGATTAAAAGAATTATTGTTAAACTTAGTAATACATAATGTTTCTAAAATTTCTCTCTTCAATACCTCATATAGTGGGATTTTTTATGTTAACATTACGATTAGTAATTTGTTGGATTCGTGAGGAGCGGTCAAGAATGAGGTAGTTTTAAAAAACACCTTTTTCATTTTTTTTTTTTTTTTGTCAACGTTTCGACCTTTACTCGGGACATCGTCAGGGCCTGGGTGAATTACAAAACATATATTGATTGGGAAAAAATACAATACAGATGTAAATATAAACTTTGAACCAAGAATTACATACTTATCTAAAGTGTGGTGCTATTCTTGTGGTGCTATATTGGTGTTGTGTGTAATCGTTGAGAAATGAGATTTTGTATTGTGATGTTTTTATATGGTTGTGAGAGGGAAGGGCACACGCTTCCCGGGAATTTTTTTTAACAGAGGCGGTTTTATTTAAAAATTTCAAAGGAAGTCGTGAATTTTCTGGATTGGATTTGTGATTCGGGTTATTCAATAGTGGAAAAGAAGTAGGACGATAACAAAGAAAAGGGAAATATATTAATAAAGTTTAATAGTTTAATGGTTTTATAGCGTAGCTGCGGCTGAATTTGCATGCATATATCTGTAATTAATGCTGTGTATGTCTATGTTAATGAAACCACCAGACCACCACACCGCATCTCACGATCTCCAAATAATCATTTCTAGAAAGTTGCGTTTGTATTTTTTTCCAGTGTTTAGTATTTGTATTTAGTCAAAATCAAAGTTTAGTGGTTTTTCAAAATAGTGTGTGGCCAATGCTGTGGGATTGGTTTTTGTGTCTTGCAGACATAGATGTGTTGTTTTTTCCATTTTTCCAGATATTGTTATGTAATTCCATTGTATGTAGCTGTAATTCCATTGTATGATAACCCACCCTGGGAGTCATGGCCCACTCTATGTGGAACCACGGCGACGACGGGTGGTATAGTACGGTTGAGACTCGAGACCCCGAAACGGCTCACCTCGTGTTCTCTTCCGCGGCCCTGTTTCTCAATCCGAATTCCTTCATTCTATCCTGTGACCCCTCCTAACCCTTGGTTACAAGGGGGGTATCCAGGCACAAAATAATGGTGTAGCCTTGAGGGCGTGGCAACCTCTCTAAAGCACAAGCTGTCTTATGTCGGCCTCAGGGTCGGCAGGGATGTCGGGTGCCTTAGCAGAGTCACACGAGGGCCAGTGCACCAGATCCTGTCTGCATAGACGGGGGAGGGTTGTATGGCCATCTGTACCACGGGGTGACAGGAATGTTCCAGAATCCAGCCCTCTGTCACATTGGGATGGATTCGTGGTGGCTTGTGGCGACGCCCCTGGCGGGAACTTAGAGAGAGGCAGTCTTCTACCTGGGACCTTTCGTGAAGCTTGCGCATGGCCAGCGTATTACCCCCCGTTCCTCACGGGAGACGTTGCGACCGGACGACAGCATGTAAGCGTTGAGAACGACATGATCATGCTACAGTCCCTCGAATGCGTGAGTAAGCGACTGGAAAAGGGTAGTGGAAATCGGGAAGCAATGTATGTAGCTGGACTCAGTTTTCTGGACTACCTCAATTCTTGTTGCTCACGATTCCAACAATTTATTAAACAACCCATCACTAAAAATCACTCATTATGATTAGTATGTTTTACATGGCGTGACAGTGCTGTTTTATCATTCTTAAAATTGTTTTGAATTATATTACCTAAATTTGTGGTTTTGTTTTTAACAATCTATGCATTTAATACTATAATATATCCGATACAATTTATCTTTTATGGGAGGGTTTATTAAATTAGAAATTTTATCTATTGTTTCTGTTAAGGATGGGATGTATGTAAGAGAGGCACTACATTTTTTTTAATTCTATTTATTTTTTATATTGTTATCAACTGGTAAATTTTTGCTGGGACTATTGTCTTGTGGAGAGTTTTTTATTATTTTATTTTTTAACGCAAAAGTTTTTTAAAGGTTGTAAAAAGATATGCATTCATTTTACTGCTGTTTAGAAGCTTAAGTTTTAATAAAAGCCTAAATTCTTTATTAGAAAGGTTGAAAGCTGTGTAGATCAAATTATTGATTACATTAATTTTTAAATGGTAAGGGGGAAAGGTAATTTAATAATCTGCCAGATAAAGTCGGTGTGGTAAATCTGCTAAATTTAAGTTTATTCTTTTGTTTAATTATTGTAACAACCAAAAACCTGATTATATTATTTTCTTCAATTTCCATTGTGAACTTGGTGTTTTGTGTCGTAGATTTAGGAAGGTTAGGAAGTTTTGTCGTTCTTCTTTGTCTGTTATGCAAAAAGTACAATCTCTTTATTTGTATAGCATTAAAGGCTGGATATTACTGGTATAATTGCTTTAGTTATAATATAATAGTGGATAACAATCTTAGGATCTTCCATTCTACAAGAATCTGCTGCGTCTATATCAATTTTTAAATATTCTATAGTCGAAAACAGTATGAGACATGGAAGGGGTAAAAGAAAACCGACAGAAGACGAACAAGATGTGGTTGGTGGTGTGTTGGAAAGGGAAATGAATAAATGGAAAAAGTGCTTTATCTTTAACAAGCAGTCCGACTTAGATCACACACTCAATGAAGCGGGAGCTTACTTCTTTTAGCTAAAAGCCAGCATCCTCTCGGTCCCGGAAATTTAAAGCGATCCTTTTATTTTGCCCCCAACGTCCCACACAAATGGCGAATTTTGTTTTATATTTTACCCGAATACTTGTGTACAATTAGCAGGCCCTTGTTGAATTTAAATTAATTAAAGCCCTCCCTCTTTTGTGTTTTCACGGCGTGGATGGGGTTTGAATGTTAGCTAAGGGGGAATTTTAATTATGCCTCCATCAAATTGTTTCTCTAACCATGTAATTCTAAACACAATTCCTAGCGAACTTTCAAAAATACATTTTGGGCCGAAAATAATCAACTGTCGTACACATAAGTGTGTTAAAAAACAGGTCCTACAATTTACCGTAATATAGTTAATGAAGACAGCACCATTAAAGAAAGAAAATTTTAAGAAACAGCGAGATTATATCGTCCTTAAATAATATTGTATCCGGTATTTTTTTGATATGTAAATTGAAGGTGTTGTTTTGAACTCTTTCAAACATTACCTTGTGTAACTTTTCATTCATTAGCCTTTATTTGACTCCGTGTCGGTACACTGACCTTTTCCAGTACCTTTGATCTAGTTTATCTTTATGTTAACTGGTATTTCATCTTCATGCACTCTTCGGCCGGGTTTTCCATTTCTGTTGCAAGTTCTTAGCATACATCTTGTTTTCTAACCCCTTTACTGTGGGATTTTCCGGTCCCGCAGTATTTTTTTAAATAGTATTGTGAGAACGAAGGAAGCGCTACGACCGTCCAGAGAGTGGCTCAACCGTATTTTCTATGATGTGAAGAAGAAAAATCGCCAATTGGCCGATCAACAAATTTTGACATGGAATAAAGCAACGTAAGTTGAATCCATCACGTGAAAAATGACGCGCAACGGGCAAATGCAACAAGTGGATAAAAGGCTTCAGGATCGAGGATGAGATCTTTTTCCGGAAAAACAATCCTATTTTCCCCTTGCTAACTCTTTCACAGCAACAATTGTTTTATAATTTATAAATAAAAAAAGGCAACGTACTACGGTGTACAGATGAAAAAACCTCGTGGTTCGTCGTTTTAATACGTCACGATAAGATGAAAAATTAATAACCACCACGATGAGAACAATGAAAATCAAGGTTTTTATCTATATTACCAAATGAACATTATTAATTTACTATGGATGATGATGAATTATGAACTTGACTTACCTCCGAGCTGGAACAAGAGTTTTATGTCACCATGCCGAAATAGTACCATAATGTTGAAACGAAGTACTTTTCCTTTAAATAAATTGAATTTTGCAAGATACAATTAGGCAGATTAATTATAACTTAGGAAAAAGAAAGTACAAAGCAGAAAGTTGTTTTCAAAAAATTTCGTTTCGTTGTTATAGCACGATTTGCTTATACATGGTTGATTTACACAACACATCTTTTCCTGTTCCTGATCGGGGTAATTCAGCTCTAAGTGGTCAAATTTGGTCGACGATCTCTTAAACTAAATGTCTATGAACAGATATCACCAGAGCCGGCCTAATCTTGGTCAAAAGAGTTTTATACCACGACGAGTATAACTTAACGATTTGACAGTTTTTAAAACAAAATATAAAAGGCACTTACTATTCGAATACCATGTACAGCATTCCTTCCGAGCTGTAAGTTTCGAGAAGTTCCACTATGTGGGGGTGTTTGAGCATGTGGCATATTGTCGCTTCTCGTTTTAAATCTGTAATTGAACTTAGCGTTAAAATGTTTACGTTCATGGTCAGATCATCTTGTTATTACCTGATGTGCTTAAACCCGGGCTTGAGGTGAATTTGGCGACGTCGACAATTTTGACGGCGAACTGTTGTCCCGTCTGCCTGTGGATGCATCTTCTGACTAAACTGAATGGGCCTCTGAAACAAAATTAAAACATTTTTTTAATTAAAGTATTTAACGAACAACTTATTAGTTAGTTGATGGTTAAATATTGCATCTGTTACTTGTTTTTTATTTATTAGCTTGTGCCTTCAAATTGGTAGTTTTGTCAAAATGTAATTTGTTATTTGGTAGGTGTACACTTTTATTTGTTCATTGTTGTTGTCTTTATTTATCCTTTGTTGTTGTTTTCGTACCGAATTTTTGATTTTTAGTACTTATTGTGGTTGATCAATATTTATTGCTCTCGTTACTTGTTATTTATTTATTGCTTTATGATTTTGAATCTCTAGTCATATTAAAAAATGGAATTGATATTTCATAGGTCCGTAGTACTCTTGCTGAATGTTCCAAAACAAAGCCAAAAAGTTATTAATTGTATTTTAATATATAACAAAAATGCAAGTTTTAAGAGTGATTCTTTAAAAAAAGGTCGTTTTTGTATAATCAAACAATTTTCTTTTAGAAACAATAACCTTTAAAAGGAAATTGAAAAATAAACCCACACCTAAAATAGAAAAATACCTCAATATTTCCACGATGCCAAACCAGCATTTTTTACATCCCAAATTAATTTAATAACCGATGAATCAATGCGTAATAAATGAGAAGATACTAAATATAGAGAGAATAATTAAGAATCAAATATTCGGCATTTTCAATGTAGTTGGATAGTTTTTAAAACAATTGTACGCTTATTCTACAAAAAAAAATTAATTGACAATTAACCATTCATAATTAACTGAATAGCATAACCTCCCTATGATATGTAAAGTTTGATAGCGAATTAAAAAAACTGAATACCTTGCAAATTTTCGAAGGCAAGGTACTGAATTATCAAGACATCAAAAAATTCAAATATTGAAACATTTCTTTTGAACCCTTTAGGATGTGAAAACAAATTTTTTACACTTTCTAAAATATTAAATTATAAATAAAGGGATCAGGTATAAGGGGAATTTGAGATAAATAAAAACACGCAGTTCCTTCAAGTATTCGAGAAATATATCTATTTCAATAAGACTTTGAAAATATTTCTAATGATTTTCACGGTTATCAAAGAAAAACATTTACCTTCAACATTAAAATATGGCAGCGCCCATGACAAATTATTTTAACTTAAAATAAACGATGAGTTGAACGTATCAACAAAACGAAGAAATTCAAAGGAGATATGATGAATTATTAATCAAAAAGCTTTATAAAGCAGAAAGAACGGTAATTGTTTACAAAAGAACAATAAGAAAAAGAAATGTTTAAGTTGCTTGCTAAACGAACACATCTATAACTCCTTTTTGCCATTTTTCAAATGGCGAGAATCCAAACCGATTACACGACATTTGAAAAATGGCAAAAAGGAGGGAAAATTCAAAAGGTGGGGTTGAGATGGGAAGTTGGTGTCCGAGTGGATCGAGGTCACGATACCAGCGGCGTATCAAGCCGAAGATCGTGGGTTCGAATCCCTCTCGTGCCATTGACTTTTTTATCTTAACTAAAAACCTTAATTAATTGTATTATTTGGAAGATTCTTTTCTGGGTTGTTGCATTCCATGGAGGAGCTTTCCCGGCTTGAGGAACGGGTGATAGCTCAAGTGGTAGAACAGCGGCGTATCTAGCCGAAGATCATGAGTTCGAATCCCACTTGTGCCATTGACTTTTTTTATCTCAACTAAAAACCTTAATTAATTGTAATATATTAATTGGTCAAGCGGACACGAAATTAGTGAATTTAATAATACATAATCCCGGTTTTCCTTCCTCTAAGGACAGAAGCCCTGTGTAATGTAGTAATAGTAACTACACTTCAGACATCCAAACTACCTTCATTAAATCCCTTGCGTTTGCTGTATTTTGGCACAGCCTTGCCTCCCTCTGATCCCGATTCGATAATTGCTTCAGAGTCGGACCAGGTCGAATGGAGCAACCTTGCAGTTTGAAGATTAATGAAAACAAATGCACACATGTTACATTTACACTCCGAAGCAAAACCCCCCACACAATATTCCCCAACAAAATTCCTATCCCTAAACCTGACGAGTTCGCTACCTTTGGTTATATCTAGACTCACGCTTAACCTGGAACCGACACATACAAGTTAAAAGACAGAAAATGAACAGACATTTCTATCTACTGCATAAACTACTTGGATAGAAATCTAACATGTCCACAAAAAGCAAACAGAACTACAATAAAATACTACTGAAACCGATTTGGTCATATGGACTGGAACTATGGGGCACCGCTAAACCTACCAACATCCAAAAAATTCAGTTTTACCAATCCGAAGTCCTCAGAATCACAGTCGACGCTCCCAGCGACCACAAAATTGTAAATAAATTAATCCCCACCAAATGTTCCAACTTCCATGAAAAACTCTCCACTCACCCCAACCCATTATTCCGATACAAATCCAACAAAATCCATCCCTTTAATCCCGTCAGACGACTAAAGCGGAGATGGCCCCGAGACCTCCTTGCCAAGGACCTTGAGCTGCCCACATGACACCGCAATCACATCAACAGATTCCAATCAATAAAATTTAAAACGTATTAAATTCACTAGTTTTCGTGGTCCGCTTGACCAATTAATATATTTCAATTACAACTATTATCTACAAATTCCACTAGTCTAACTTCACAAAAATGGGACAAAACTTTAAAAAAGTTTATGATTTCGCAATCACATCAACAGATTCTAATCAATAAAATTGACAACTTATTAAATTCACTAGTTTTCGTGGTCCGCTTGACCAATTAATATATTTCAATTACAACTATTATCTACAAATTCCACTAGTCTAACGTCACAAAAATGGGACAAAACTTTAAAAAAGTTTATGATTGCGAGTATCTCATTCTATGATTATGTAGGCCTAGAAGATGTAAGTTGGTTCAAACTCTTTCCAACCAGGGAATTAAAATATGATTAGGAGGTTAGATGTTTGCGAGTATCTCATTCCATCATTATGTAGAATTATGTAGACCTAGAAGGTGTAGGTTAGTTCAGAATCTTCTTAACCATGGAACTGGAATATGATTAGGAGCTTTCTAAAGTACCATGAAGAAAGGACAAAACCATCATGATATAGACGAAGAAAATTAGCCTTATAATTGTACATATCGCTTCAAAGTAAACTCGTGCTACAAAATAATGAATAATACGTTGCTGAAAAGGCAGGATTTCAGAGTCATTAGGAATTAATTACAGGAAGGGTCATGCTGTTTTCTTTAAAAAAAATTTGTGTGGACTGTTTTTAGGACAAAACTCGTATACATTTAATCCAGTATTTCATACTTACTATGTTGTTACAAGCGTCTTTGTTCACGGAAGCTCATCCATTAATTCCCAAGGCATATAATTAATGTAAATTAATCAAAAGCCAACGCTGTGCGCTCAGTGTGACTGTAAAGGTGTTGTACACTTCCACCTAGTTCCAAATGTCAGGGCTATTGACTCAGAGCTTTATAATCAACGGCTCGACAGAGAACGTAAATTAAAGTCAATCCGAAAACAATAGCGCAATGCAGTTTATGTACGATGTACTACATTATTATTATAGAAGTTTGAGCTCTTAATTACCTTTTTAATTATCTTTATTTTAAAAGTTATTGTGAACTTAATTTTATATTGAACAACAACTTATTGAGGCAAGTTCACATTTAAGACCTGCCGGTGTTTTAGGGCCCAATGCTAATGTCTTAAGCTTACCAAAAGTGATCAACATGGAATGAATGTTGCTTACCAAAAAGACAAAAGTTGAAGCAAAGTGCAATAGAAAGTTTAAAGCATTCGGCCAACTTTGTAGGAAAACGTCGTGAACTTGTAACGATTATGGGCAGCAAACCATACCACGGATGCGTTTATATTTACACGCCGCAACCTTTTAGTAATTTAACTTAATGTACTACTAGACAAACTACATGGAATACTAACCTATACATACACTATACTAAACAAACGATCGAAAGTTTTACTAACGAACAAACTGTTAATTCACAACACAGTACTTCAACCCATCTGGACCTACAGAATAAAAACTGTGGGGCTCAACGAAACACTCCGATTCTAAAACAATTCAGTCACTTCAGTCAAAAATTGTCCGTAAGATCACCCATGATACTAAACAAACAGTTTCGAACAACCGATATCCAAATTCCTTTTCACGAAGTTCATGCTTTCCCGTTATACAAAATTCCATAACTCCATAAGTATACTCACAAACCCATTGTCTAACAAATAGGCTTCCTACGAAATCCGAGTGTATTTGTACTCGTTCGCTTTGTACCATTATTCAATGAGCTCAAGATGTTCCTGGATATTGGAGGTGGCTTGAATAAGATTGGAGTTGGGATATAAAATATCAGTCAGTATCGTTCTCGTAGGTTATAAGGATGGCGTTGCGATTTATCGGCAGATCAGCAGTGCAAATTTATATAGGATGGGACCAAGAATGCTCCCTTGTGGGACGCCGATCTGGATCGGTCGACTAAGGAAAACTCGTTGGCACAATTCACTCTGAAGCGGCTTCGGTTAGATAGGATTTTAGGATTTGGTAATAAGGAGTGGGTAGGAAGTGCTTTAGTTTGAAGGTCAATTTTGAACTTTGAAAAAAAAAAAAACATGAAATATAAAACGTCGATAGTGTTCGTAGGGAAACTGAAGATGACGTAGCCCATAAACCACTTTAGCCCTTCGCCAAAAAGTATTTCTTACCTCAAGTCCTTCCCGGTATTGCTGTAATACAATTATTGACTATATTCCAGTCTGAACGTCTGAACGTAACTCTTTTATGGCAAATTAACAAAACCCTAAAAAGTTCAATACATAGGAATTAATAGTTTGATTAAAAAATGGGGTTTTCACTCACTCTTTACGCTTCTCATTATTGTGCAGGCCGGACTGGTTGGAATATAGAGAGTTTTCGATTAGTGGTTGATTAAAGTGATCTGGTGG